GCGTGCGGTGCGTGTGTGTGTGTGTGTGTGTGCGTGTGTGTTTGTAAGCAGAGCGAGGCATAAAGGCTAACGTTGAATATACGAATGTGAATGTAATATTTTGCACATATGTCATCCACTATGAAATGTTACTTTTCTGTAAAATTCTATGAGAAAAAATTCATATTAGTTTTGGTGTCACCATTGATAAATGGTCTCTTGAATCACCGTTTGATTAACAGTTCCAGACAGAAATCGTCCATTTAGCGCGCTGGACCTCGGGACCAAATCTAACAATGCTACAACTACGTGTTGGTTGTTATGCATTTATTTTTCAAACATATCATCTTTGTTATTATGTTTTATGATTATTATTATCATTATCATTATTATTATCATTAACAGAAATGTAGTTAATAGACTCAGATACCTAAGAGCTTTTTCGGATAAAGCAGCTAAGGAAAGGAAGCCAGCGATGGCACTCTAAACAAGGGGTGTCAAACACGCGGCACATTTGCTATATTAGTCTCACAGGCGGCCGTTATACATGATTAAATAAGCCAGTCTCTCGTCTTCTAAGATTAACACTTACACCCTTGCACTTTTTCTGACATTTTCTTTTTTTATGTAATGAAAAAAATAAATGTTTTAACGTCAACCATATAACCGTTTCGTCGCGTCGATTCTTGATTATCACGTCTGCATACTGTATACTAAGGTGAAATGTGGTCCTCAGGTAAATGAGTTTAACAGCCCTGAGGTGGAGAGACAGAAACGCGAAAAGGATGTGTGCAAGCGGCAGAGGGAAAGAAAGAGGGCAGTTTGTTTTAGGGTTCTGGATCTGGCACCCGTTAGTTTGCAAAGGAGGCTATTTGTCGATGCATCTTTCAACTTTAGCTTGTGTATATGCCCTCTGAAGGACAATGTACGATAAAGGGTGACTCCTAGGTACAATGGGTGTGGGTAATTTGCCAGCTGATTATTGTCTTATGAAATGTTAAGTCTCTTGTATGCATCGTGATTTTTAAGGTGGGATGGACATACCTGAGTTTTACTGGGGTGGGCATTAAGGTGTCACTTTCGGTAGAAGTTGGAACGAGCTTACAAGGTATCTGAGAGTTTTTCCTCGAATTTCTCGGAGTATGATTGAGTAGCATTGTAAAGTTCATATGCAGTGATGACCCTAAGTATGTCTGGAAATTGTGGTTGGTGTAAATGTTAAACACCATGGGGGCAAGCACAGATCCTGGAGAGCCTGTTGTTTGGGATCTTCCATCTACTTCGGATCCCATTTTTATGAAAAACTGTCGCTTGTCAAGTAGTGATTTAATTTAGCGAGCTACGATTGTTTAGAATAATTTTAGCCCATTATAGGAGTGCTCTGTGATTGACAGTCGTATGCAGTCCTGAGGTCGACTAAGATTGCACCTGTGATTTGTTTCGTCTCAAAGCCATTTTTCATGCACTAAGTTTCATTGCTTGACTGCAAATTATCTGCCGGTTATATGCTTGATCTGTTGATAGTGCCTCTTCATCTTTGTTGTTTACAGGTCAATAAAGTGCGGTCATGCAGTTTATAGAGCATACAATATGGATATTGGTCTGTAGCTTTTTGGAGGGTCTGGATCTTTACCAGGCTTTAGTAGGGCTACTAATTTTGTTTTCATCAACATAGGTGTTTTAAAGGTTGCACATGTATTGAATAGCAATAGGATCCAAGTCTTTAATTTCTTCCAAATGTATGATAATTTCGGATGTGATCCCACTCAGCTCAACTGCTTTTCCGGGTTTCAGACGTTTTACAGCATCATCACTGTTTTGTGGTTTCCCATTGAGTAGCAGTTGAGTAGTACTTGTTTTTGGAATAACAGTAGTTATTCCTGGTGCTACTTTCTTTTCTGAGATGTGTTTGATAGTTGCCCATGCTTTTTCACTATCATAAATCACGCCAATATTAAACATGAATTCTTTCCATCATTCTAGTCTGGGTTTGGAATCGATGCTGTCAGAGGGTCTTCCAGCTCCGTGGTGTCATCGCCAAATGCTTTCGTGGTAGATTTCCTTGTTTTCATCCGTGAGGCCAAGGATGTATGTCTTACCTCAGCCTCGGGAGAAGCTTCTTTTTGCGATTTCCCGTGCTTGGTTTTGAAGAGCCTAGTATTGCTGTGGCTCTAGGTCGGATGTGAAGTTTTCCCAGTGGACCTTGAGGAAGTTGAATCTACATTTGGGTTTTGACTCCCTTGGCTGGGAGATGAGTATGATGTCAATAACATTATGCAATGTTGGAATTTAGGTTTTGAGTTGCCGAATAATTAATTAATGTTAAGGTAGTGTCTACATAATACAGATACCGGGTCTCATAGCCGTTTCTCCAGCATGCACCCTGGAAGGATATGTTATTCTTAGTATTATCAATCAAAATGGCTACTCATAGATTGGAACCCAATTCTCCACTGCTTCACCACCGTTATTTGCATGGTTATAGCCCCAGGTGGTATTCCTCCCGCACTATATTTATAGAAATTCTAAAGTTTTAGTTGATAGTTACCTCACTGGCCTCAGATCTCATGTCTACTGTAATCTTAGTTTACCTTAGTTGAGACATGAATAGCTCCACAAGTGCTTAAACACCACGGAGGCAATTGTTAGTCCAGCCTATCTGACCTGTTTATCATTCTCCTTGATTTATGGGGGGGAGCATTATTTTTAGTATTTTTGTAACGTAATAGTCATTTTTCGATAAGGATAACAGTAGCAATATCATTCTAAGAAATAAATACAATAGGGATATAAGAGGCGGTTAGCAGGGCCCATTACGTAGTCCTTGGTGGCTGAGTATTTGTGGAGTCCTCTGTGTGCAACTTTTACAAAAGATTACAGTCTGACATTACTACCCCCCTCCTCAAAAGTACAGTCTGGTTGTGTTCTCGTAACTGTAACAGTTGTAGAAAAGGTATAAAGAATGAATAGACAATATATGTAATTAACGTGTTTCTATTAAATCGCGTTAGTTATTATCTTTTTCTCTGTATAGTCATTCCCTCTAATATATATTTCATATATCTGTCATTTTATTTGTCGCAACAAAATCATTTCAGTATTGCTTAGCTCGCCTCTCGTTTCCGCCAATTGGTAAGACCATTTATATTCGCTTATGAATATTGATATTATCAATAAAACTTGCCTATGCTCTTGTTAGTGTTGCCAAGGGGATG